ACTTCTCAAACAAGCTGGTACCCATTGATCTGAGCTGGGTGGGGCCTCAAGCCTCCACTTGAGATCGAACCCCAGTTTTTCCCATTGACAGTTCAGTGCCTTAACCACTGAGCTATTGCGGCTCTTTCTACACATTAACATTTTCACTTTTCATCATTTTTGGAATTTTTTAGATATTTTTATATTTCCTTCATTTTTGAAGAAAATTCCATTCGAAAGTTGGAGTTTCTGTGCAACCGATTTCCTCCTTTATGTGCCTATTTTTGGAACCACTCATTAAGCTGCATTTTAACAAAATGCTCCATTTTTAGCACTTCTTTATAATTATGCGTAAATAAAAATTATGCGTATTTTTGAACTTATGACAGAGATAGAAAATTTCTAACATTTATTTAAATAATTGCGAAAAAAAATTTTTAGTCCTCTATAAACGCCACTATCTTTTAGCTATTTACTATGGGTGATGTTTTCTACACTAATGAGCGCTTTAGGCTCTTTACCACGAAATTTGAGTCCACTGTAAGCGAAATGCCAATATCTTTTAGCAGTTTACTATGAATGACGTGTTCTACACTAGTGAGAGGCTCTTTACCATCCATATTACCGGGTTACTGTATCCGGTGTATTTTAAAGCCATTGGGCTCAACGTGTTCACATTGAACACAGTAAATAGTGAAAAGAGAGTAAATAGCGAATATAAAGTAATAAACATATAACATAAACAACAAGTTATATAATAATAAACATAGTAGATAGTGTTTGGTGTTGAATTACCGCTTGGCGAGATCAGCCATCTTTCATCATAATGTAACCCTTTGATCTATTCACTCTTGTTCTTGTTGATTGAATTGTTAAGAGCGTATGATCGCTCTCTAATGTAAGTTCATGCGTGAACTAATCAAATAATTTGTTAAATAAATATTTGTTAATTATTATTATACAGTCCGCATTACCTTCACTTTTAACTATTGAGCTATCACGAGACCGCACAGTTGGTCCGTCGAGCCTGAGTAGAATATGGCTTCTTTGATATCGTTGAACAGCCAAAGAGGCGTAATTAAAACAAAATTTGGAAAGTTGTTAGCATTTCTTGATGAATTGAAATCCGACGAAGAGGAATTGAATCGTGAAGTTATACTAAACACAAAACTAAATTCATTACTGGAACTAAAAAACATTGCAAAACAATTGATAGTTGATTACACTCAACTTCCAGAAGATATCGATTTGAAGGATAATCTTAGTTTAACTGAAGAACTAGACGAGGAAATAGAAGATTTAGAAGTAAGATTTTGAATTACTCTTTCTGAATGCAAGATTAATGATAAAGATAAAATTTAAGAAGCAAAAATTGTTTCTAATTGTAGTTATAAATTACTAGATTTACCCTTACCACACTTTTATGGTAAATATGAAGATTTCAAAAACTTTAAAATGCAGTTTATGTCAATTATCGGTAACAATAAAGAATTGAATGATACACAAAAACTATTTTATCTCAAAGCATCTCTTAAAAGAGAAGCAAAATTGTGGGAATCTTGTCAAGACACGTTTGAATCACTGTTTTCTGCACTTAGTAGCAGGTATGAGAATAAAAGAGCAGTTGTGGATGCTTTTATCAATAGCTTATTAAATTTTGAAAAAATAAATGATTCACCATCACAATTACGGGCGTTAGTTGACAAAGTAAAAAGATGCTTACGATCATTAACAGTACTAGAATTCGATCGTAATAATTTGTCAGATGTTTTAATTTTAAATATTTTGTTACAGAAATTAGATAAAGAATCGAGAAAAGCTTTTGAACTAAGTGTAAAATCTAATGAAATCCCGAAATTAGATGATTTTTTAAATTTTTTGGAAGAAAGAATTCGAATTCTTGAAGAAATAAATAAAAATAGTTTCCCAAAACAGAACTATGTTGTTAAACAATCAAATCAATTTAATCGTCCTAAAAATTCAAAAACTTTCTTCACCAAAACCAATACTTATCGAAACTGTATTTTGTATAACGAAACACATCCTATTTATCATTGCCCAAAATTCAAAAGCTTACCAGTTTCGGAGAGATTTAATTTTGTAAAAGAAAACAAACTCTGCATTAAATGCCTTTCTCAAACGCACTTATTGGCTCAGTGTAAAGCTAACAGATTAGTTTGTTTTGACTGTAAAAAAGATTCTCACCATTCACTATTACATAAAAACGAAAGTGAAACCTTTTTGAAAGAAAGAGAACCCTTATGAAAATTTAAGGTATATTTAAGGTTGATTTGAGGTATTTTTGAGGTATTAAGGTTGTTTTGAGGTATATTTGAGGTATATTTAAGGTTGCAGAGAAAACAGCAATAAAAATTATACCTCGTAAAGGTTGTAATTAAGGTGTACGAGGTTGATTTATATATACTTCAGCTTGTTTTGAGGTTGTTTAAAATTCACTTCAAATCAACCAGACTGATAAGGAGATTTTTAAGGTATACCNATTTTATTACATAAATTAGATAAAGAATCGAGAAAAGCTTTTGAACTAAGTGTAAAATCTAATGAAATCCCGAAATTAGATGATTTTTTTAAAGTTTTTGGAAGAAAGAATTCGAATTCTTGAAGAAATAAATAAAAATAGTTTCCCAAAACACAACTATGTTGTTAAACATTAAAATCAATTTAATCGTCCTAAAAATTCAAAAACTTTCTTCACCAAAACCAATACTTATCGAAACTGTATTTTGTGTAAAGAAATACATCCTATTTATCATTGCCCAAAATTCAAAAACTTACCAGTTTCGGAGAGATTTAATTTTGTAAAAGAAAACAAACTCTGCATTAAATGCCATTCTCAAACGCACTTATTAGCTCAGTGTAAAGCTAGCAGATTAGTTTGTTTTGCCTGTAAAAAAGATTTTCACCATTCACTATTGCATAAATTTGAAACTGAAACTGAATCATTGAAAGAAAGAGAAATAGCCTTGAAAAATAATTCTTCTACCAACGAAATCGAACAATCCCCTACTCCCCCACTCAGAACTTTGATGGCGTCAGGGAAGAGTAATAAATTAGTATTCATAAATACTGCAGTTGTTTATCTTCGCGATGCCTGTAGTAATTTGAAACCTTTTCGAGCAGTTCTTGATTCTGCTTCATCTTACAATTTTTGTACTTCTGAGGTCATGAATGTATTAGGATTAAAAAAAGAAAAGGTTTTTGTTCCAATTAGTGGAATCAGTGATATTTCTTTGAATGTAAAATCGCAAATTAAAACTCGATTGTCGAATTTAGAAAATGATTCGGAATGGGAAATTGAGTTACTTGTTGTTCCCAAAATAACTGACATGATGCCAAGTCAATTAATATTTCGACTTTGAATATTCCTAAAGGGATCAAGTTAGCTGATAACGAATTTTATATAGCGAAAAAAGTGGATTTGTTATTGGGTGCTGAATTATTTTTTGAATTTTTGAAGAATGATAAAATACGTTTAGAAGATAATGAATTATTGCTTCAAAATAGTTGTTTCGGATATTTGATTTCAGGAAGCATTAGAATTTCGAGTAGTGAAGCTAAAGATTTTAATCGTTGTTTTTTGTCTACTGAGGTTAATTCGCTAAACAAGATATTGAATTCTTTTTGGGAAGTTGAAGATGTAAACGAAACAAAAACTCCCGTCAGTTCAGAATTAAATTATTGCAACGAACTTTTTGAAAATTCGTTTTATCGAAAAACTAATGGGAAATATGTAGTTCAGATGCCATTTAAAAAGGATATTAGTGAAAACATACCGTTGGGAGATTCAAAACAAATTGCTGAAAAAAGACTTAATCAATTATGGAGACGTTTGTTAAGTAATCCTGAAATGAAAGAATTGTATGTTTCGTTTTTAAAAGAATATGAACTTTTGAACCATATGGAAAGGATAGAAGACAATTCTGATTTTGATGACAGTTATGGATATTTCCTTCCTCATCAATGGTGTCTTAAAACCAGACAGCAAAACTACTAAACTTAGAGTGGTGTTTGATGCAAGCGCCAAAACTACAAATGGCTGTTCCTTGAATGATTTGTTATGCAAGGGAGGAGTGATTCAAGATGAACTGTTCTCTATTATGCTTCGATTTAGAAAACATATCTATGCCTTCACAGCAGATATTGAGAAAATGTTTAGACAAATTGAAATACTGCCTTCACAAACCAAATTTCTAAAAATACTCTGGAAAAATCACGAAAGTAAACCTACTAAATCCTACAGACTTAAAACCGTAACATATGGCACAGCATGTGCTCCTTACTTGGCACAGAAGATTCTTCAACAATTAGCAAAAAATGAAGAGAAGGATTTTCCTTTGGCATCGAAAGTTGTTATGGAAGAATTTTATATGGACGAGTGCCTTACCGGTACTTCTAATTTAAATGAATGTATTAAGCTGCAGCAAGATTTAACAGAACTAGTTAAAAGAGGAGGAATGAAATTACACAAATGGTGTACTAGCTTTGATTCACAAGACACAGAATTGGGAGACTTTTCATTTGATCGTGACAGTAATGCAACAGTGAAAACTTTAGGGATGCTGTGGAATAACAAGAGGGATACATTTCTCTACAAAGTTGCAGTTACGGAAAAATCAGATGTTACTAAGAGAGATGTTTTATCTCAAATTGCTCGTTTGTATGATCCTCTTGGTCTACTTGGTTCAGTTATCAGCAAAGCGAAGATTTTTATGCAACGGCTTTGGTTGCACAAGCTAGACAGGAACGAAGAGTTACCATCCCCTATTGCCCAAGAATGGACTTAGTTCATTAAAGCACTTTATAGTATAGAAACTATTTAAGTACCTCGTTGCGTTTTGAAGGAGACATTTTCCGCACTTATACTGCATGGTTTTGCAGATGCCTCAGAAAAAGCATTTGGAGCTGTAATTTACTTACAGACAGTTGCAGATCCTGATGATTCTTTCAGCCAGCTTCTTTACAGCGTGTAGCACCAATCACGTGTAGCACCAATCAAGACTATGACTATTCCTAGATTAGAACTGTCTGCATGTAAATGGCTGTTAGGTAGAATTATAGACATCTTTTGTGGAAGAGATAACAGTGTAAGAGTTGTTACTGTAAAAACAAAAAATGGTGTTTACAAAAGAGCAATATCAAAAATTGTTGTCTTACCTATTGAGATATAATATTGTATACTTAGTATTTGGAAATCTGAAACTTTGTTTATTTGGTGTATTTTTATAACTATTTGTGCATTATATTAATTTAAATTGTGTTAACATTACATATAATTCTATTTGTTTCTATTTGATTATTATTATTTTTTGAAATTAATATTTCAACCCCGGTGGTTATGTTTGGTATTGAATTACCGGTTGGCGAGATTATATGTCGCCAGCCATCTTTAATGTAACCTAAAAACTATTCATTCTTGTTGATTGACACTTTGAGAGCGTATGGTCGCTCCGTAATGTAAGTTCATGCGTGAACTAATCAACTAATTTACTTTTGTTAAATAAATGTTTATTAATTATTATACAGTCCATTACATTAAAATTTAATTATTGAACTATCACGGGAACGTACAGTTGGTACACAGCTAAAAATTAGTTTTAATAAAAATCGACACATAAATGGAATGGAAAAGAGAGAGAATTTTTCTCTACAGTATGATATAAAAATAATAGAAAGAGTATAATATTTAAAACTAATACTAGAACAAGCGTGTAGCAGTGTTA